TCATTTTGCTAATTGCCTGGTATTTCTGCAAGCTTCGAAGGGCAGGTGACGTCCATTTTTCTGTGTTATTTCAGATTTCTTTTTCTGAAAGTAAAAGAAGGAAATGTTTAAACTTATTTAACATGTCTGCTGGGGGGGATGAGGAACCCTGAGCTTAGAGTCTAAGAGCAGAGATATTTTTATAAGAATTATTCGTGTTCGGCCAAAAGATGCTAAATTGTAGAGTTTTTTTCACATCTGTATATGTTTTGATAACAATTACAAATTCAGAAAATATCACGTCACCCTTCATTTGCGCAAATTCAAATTATACTGCCATTACACAGAAATTTTATTAGAATTTTATGTCAGTGTTTTGGGGTACAAAAGAGCTATCATAGCAGGTCATATTGTGCATTTCCAGCACTGATTTTGAAGGTCCTTCTTTAGTCCCGGAAAGTCCATTAACCAATCAAATTACAAAAAGGTTAAAAATTATATCCAGCTGATCACCATGACAACCAGCCATATTCCTTCTCTCGTTGTTGACAACAGAGTCAAATATAAGTTACACGTGGTTTCTGAGTCGCAAGCTTTCACTAAGTTAATGATGTCATTCTTACTTACAACGAAGCTATTTCTTCGATCTTTTTCCACATATCCTTTGATAATAGCCCCACCTGAGGTGCCACCTAGGTTGAAGTAAGTAAATTCTCTCTTTTTGTGAATGCTCGCTGTTTCAACGTGTCGCTATATCCGAAGTTTCTAACTGTTGAATAGTCTCAGTAGAATAGTAATAAGCGCCATTGCTGAGCAAATACGTCTTTTCTCCAGTTTGGACCTATCATATTCACCATCAAGAGCTCACAGGCCAAAAAGGGGTTTTTTTCTTTCGAAGCAGTGGCATTCTTCGAAGCCGTTCTTATGGCAGTCAAATGTTTCCTGATGTTCTTTCTGTTTTGGTTTCATCCGTCTTTTACTTGTCTTGACACCTTGTTAAATATATATATATATATATTTTTTTTTTTTACCAGCATGCTGGGTTGTGGGCGGCATACTTATAAGAAAAAGAGGCGCTTTGATCCCTCGTCACTCTTTGTTCCAGAAACTGCACTTGAAATACACTCGGAGTCTTGTAGGCCGATTTAAAATGCCAGTCGATATATCGACTGTAGACAATACTTCGGATGGTTTCGGTTAGTATTTCATTTCTCGCGTGGGAGAAACGATATTTGTATGAGGTAAAATGCCGAAAAACGCAGTCGGCGCAAGGTTATCTTCATGCGAGGTTAAATCAATCCTCTTTTTTTTTTTTCAATAAAATCTCCTGTTCTGGGGCGATGCGTCAACAAACGGGTTCAGCAGATTAGTATCCAAATTTCACCTATCTCAGTAATTTTTTCATTGGCAAGTAATAATTTTCTGACGTACTCTGAAAAAAAAATTATCTTTAAATGAAAAAAAAGAGAAAAAACTCTTAAAGTGAAGATATAGAGAATATATTTACCACGTTACGTTTAAACAGATTCACAGAAAGAAAAGATAGATAGGTAACAAAGATAGTTAAAGTCCTGTTTTCGTCTGCAATTATTCAGTGAAGGGGAAGATAAAGTTGAGATGGATCAGCTGAACTTAAACACAGATGGATGGGAGATTGCAGTTGACCGCCTGATCCTTCGCGAGCATATTGGCAGAGGGGCATTTGGTTCAGTGTGGCGAGCGCTACTGGGTCGTTCCCGTGGTAGACCTGGAAATCGTACAGTTGCTGCCAAGTGCTACTTACGTAAGTACTTTTTTTTTGTCTTTCTTTCATACAAAGCTTGATCAAACTATCCTTTATTAATTTTTTGTGTTTCATCTTAATAGAGAGCATTTTTCTTAAAACACGCTTTATTAACCTATTTGATACATAACAATTATAGCTTAAAGCTATGCGCAGTTAAAATGAATTATCAGCTGGCATGTCAAATAGTTAAAGGATGGTTCTCCGAGGGACCAGTCGTTAAGTCTTTTGTCATACAACGCCACAAACATTCAACAGAACACGAATATCATTTGGAGTACTAGAAGCTGTGGAGGCAAACGAAAATTTATTGATCAAATTGCATTCAAAGGGTATAAAAGCGGAAAATACTACAATATTAAAAATTTTGGTCCACTTTCGCGCCACCTCCAATCACCCGCTGTTCACCTGTAACCTGATGTCGCATATTTTGCAAAGTTGCCCGCTTAGAAACTTTTGATGTGAAATCATGACTAGTGACCTCAGAGAAACCTGGAGAGGGTGAGCCTTAAGCGAAAAAATTGGAGCCATATGCTCATCTGGTGGTGGTAGTATGATCTTCTTCTGTTGGAAAAAGTTGGAAATCATAATGCAGTCGAACCTGCATCAAGCGGCACCGTATTAAGCGGTTACCCTGTGATAAGGGGTCGGTTTTCAATGCCCCAAAATTTTCTTCATTACTCGTAGTACTTTTTATACCAAGCGATTTTGGTCACCCTTTACTATGTCATAACAGCCTATTTGTAATGTTCCCTACCTGCACTGAACGGTCAATAAAGCGGAAGTACTCAAATAAAATTAAGAATAATTTTTCAAGTAAAATTTAATCCAAGTTAATCTCCCGAAATCAATGTTAGAAGTATTTTGGAGCGAGGTCATGTATGTTAA